GTTTCTAACTATTCTCGAATAATGAGCTGGACAACCATCAAGCTGGAACCAGGCCAATCTTCTTAAATCTAACATCATTCCACATATTTGCATGTTCAGCCTTTAAAAATTCCAAGAAGGTCGCAACATTTAACCTTGCAGGCAAAAGGTAGGGTCCAAATAGTCGATTACGGTAGATACCAATCCACACGTTCACACTAAACTCATGCTGAAAATTTCTTTCCCGAACTGCATGCGGATTTTCATGTGACCAAATATGTTGATTATGAAAATTTACCACTCCACGTCTAGTGAAGCATGACTCATCGGTCCATAAAACGTTACTTAAAAACTCCCTATTATTATCAGTTCTATCAAGAATCCACTGACAAAATGTGATTCTTCGTTCTCCGTCCCCTGGCTGTAGTCCTTGCACAGGTTGCCAATGGTAAGGACATCTATGGTCATTTCGAAGAACACGGTGAACATGGCTTGCTGAAATTCCTAAGGCACCAAAAACTCTCCTAACACTTGTGGTCGGATCTCTATCAAACTCACGCAGAATCATACGGGTAAATCTGCGCTGACGAACATTTATGTTTTGGTCCCTTCGGAGATTTCCAAAACCATTTTCAATTATTTGGCGATGCACTCTTACAAATACTGAGCGAGTTGGATGTCGTCTGTTTGGAAATCTTCGTGCGTATTCTCTGGCTGCTTCTGCTGCGTTTCCATTTACAAAGCCATACACAAAATGAATATCCGCTAACTCTTGATTGGAGAATAAAAATGGCATTTTTATAAAACTTCCAAAAAAAAAACAGGTAAAAGAAACTAAATTTCATGCATTCACAATTGCAAAAAAACGTTTCAGGTTTCAACAGACAACAAAACTAACTGTCAACTAATTGACGTTTGACCTTATTCTGCTTTCAATTTCAAAAGTATTTGCAGGCACAGCCTACTTCTAAAAATTATCGAGATACTGACTTTTTAACGTTATTTTATCATAAATAATTAAAAATGCATCGAACCTTAAAAATCGAAATATCTCAAAAACGGCTAACTAGAACGAAAATTCACAAAAGAGCTTTTTTATGTTGAAAAGTGCGAAGAATCAGTTTTTTTATTCAAAAAGCAAAAAATTGCACTAGTAAAAAATTTTCGGTCATTTTAATACACTACAGGTACAGTAGAGAGCGCCCTCTAGCGGCTAGAGTAAAACTATGCCATGGTTCGTTTTGTCGTACCAAAAAACCCTGGTATACCAATTTTCACTGTTATACATCAAATATTGTTCGAAATATTAAAAAAAAACTATTTTAGAAAGTAAATTTAAACATCCTGTATTTCGGAAGCCACGCATTTTTGGACCCATGTTTATATAGACTTTATGCATTAATTTTAAAAGTTCTATCGAATCTTAAAGTTATGCAACAATAAACTGAAACACCCTGTATAGAACAAGGAAGTAGAATAAGTAATATAAAGAGGGACTAGTTTAATTACGTTTAGAGGCTGTTTCTATCAGCTTTTGATGCTTGAAGTTTGTGAATGTATCTATTTTTGGCAAATGAAAAAACTTTTCATCTAACGACGGTGAGACTCTTTTTCTCCCGATATTTATCATAGGAATATCCCGGCAGTGACATTTCTATCAAGGAAACATCAAAAGGTATATACAGTTCCTCGTATTGAAACGTAATGAGACCACGCCCATTTTCTACTAATTGTTTTTCTCCATTGTTTTCAAGAATAGACTTCTTGAAGTAACTGTCAAAATTAACCTTACTGCCTATAACCCAAGATTATTCATGACGTATTACGTAATTTACTATCATACCAAACTTTACAACTATGGAAATCAGGGTCAGCTCTTGAATTGGATAAGTAGGTACTTATCTGATGGATCTCAGTTGGGAAGATATGGTGGCTGAAGTATACGTGTAACTTCTGGAGTCCCGCAGGGTTCCCGCTTAGGTGCATTGGTAATTAATATATTCATTAATGATCTTCTGAGTTTGGCACGCAGTGAAATTCTTTTATTTGCCGATGATGTTAAGATGTCTATACAGTATATTCAGATAAGAGATAGACCGGATGTAAACAAAAGGTTCGGGTGATTTTCACACTAATGCCGCCGTCTCGACGTAAAACAGGAGCCCTCATTGGTCAATTCGCAATTAAATGCCTATGCCGAGCGGCAGAGCAGTCGTATCAAGGCAGAGTCACATTCAGGTTCAGACGTGTTACGTATGTCGTGTGCATCATTGCAATTTGATATTTCTTTGGACGTTTTCGTTTGTTATCTTATTAAGTTGTTGAGTTTGTCGTTGTTATTGTTATACCTTGTTATTGATTGTTATTGTTATCAACTGCTTGCGCAAAATGCCCAGTAGTACAGATACTGCCGATGAAGTTGTAAACTCCTGTAGTCCACCTAGGAAACGCTCTAAAAAAAGACACCTGAGTGCAGAAACGAAAGAGGTCATTTTGAATATATATAAGATCGAGCGCGAGGAGAACGAGGCATCAACCATCAAAGAAATTGTTGTGAAGGTTTCTCACAAAGTTGGGGTGTGTCGCGCATCAGTGTTTAATGTGTTAAGACAATACAAAAAAAAACACACCTTTTCTGAGCCAATGACCAGTAAACATCGCAAAAGTATTGTTAAATCATTGGATGAAGCTGATAAGCATGCGATTAGGAGGAAAGTGCATGAATTCTTCTTTAGGAATGAAATACCTACTATAGATAAAGTACTGCAGGAGGTAAATGGAGATACAACGTTGCCAAATTTCAAACGATCAACTTTCCATGCGTTACTGAAGCATTTAAATTTCAAATGGAAAAAACGGGGTCGTAATAGTTTACTACTGGATAGAGAAGAAATTGTGCTATGGAGGAGGGATTATTTAACAAAAATTGGGAAATATAGAAATCAAAACAGGAAGATTTATTACCTTGATGAAACGTGGGTAAACGCAGGACACACTACAAGTAAAGTATGGGTTGATGATTCTGTAACTTCATCCAGGAGGGCCTTTCTAGATGGACTGTCCACCGGATTAAAAAATCCAGCAGGTAAATACGAGTAATAGACAACAATCGGATGTTTTTCAAACCTTGGGAACAAGGTTCTAAACATTAATTCCAGGGGGCAGATAAAAAATATTACAAGTAACAAAACTTTTATAACTTTCGATAAAATGCGTTGATGTTTTATTGTCATTTTCATTTGTTAGAACTTGTTTAAGCCATGTTTTTATGTGTTTTCGATATTTCAATAATTTTTTAATATAATCTTAAAATATGTCGAATATTATAAACTTAAAAAAAGTTACTAAGTTTTATATTGTGTACCGTTCCTAATATTTCTAATCATTTTAATTCATACTTTAAGCTTTATAAAGTTATAATTTGTTAATATTAATATTTGCGCGTATTTCAGGTTCCCGATCATTCATTTTTTAAAGGTTTATAACTTTAAATTAAATTGTGAAGCGCTGAGTAATCATACGACGTTCAATATTCTTTCTTTCAATATGACTAAATAATCCCAATTATAGCAATCTGATACTCATGTCTCTATGTTTTTTCGCTGAATGTGATGAAAACATTTGAAAAAGGTTCGCTTATTGAAATAAATCTACACCAGTTAGTACTTCGATTTCCAGGTAAAGGGAACAGGCTCATTATCTGCCATATTGGCAGTGAGGATGGATTTGTTGTTGACGGTCTGTGGTGCTTTGAGTCTAAGAAAACTGGAGATTACTACGAGGAAATGAATGGCGAATCGTTTGAACAGTGGTTTTCAAAAATTTTACCGAACTTAGAGGAAAACGCAGTAATTGTGTTGGATAATGCGCCTTATCATTCTCGAAGAATGGAGAAGGTCCCAACAACGGCTTCAAGGAAAGTTGATGTTCAAAATTGGGTCCGCTCGAAAAATATCAACTTTGAAGAAGCAATGCTGAAAGTACAATTATTAAGAATTGTCAAGGATCACAAGGCGGAATATCAAAAATACGCCATTGACGAAATGGCAGCAAGTCAAAATAAAACTGTGCTCCGTTTACCTCCATACCACTGCGAGCTCAATCTCATTGAGCTCATATGGGCAGAGGTTAAAAATTATATAGCTAAGCACAATACAACTTTTAAATTTTGTGACCTCAAAGGACTTTTCAAAGAAGCACTAGAATTAATAACAGCGCAAAAATGGGAAAACTGTATTAAGCACGTGGAAGACAAAGTTGAAAAGAGAATGTGGGAACTGGACAATATTTTAGAGGAACAAGTCGAGCCATTCATTATTGACGTTGGTGCTTCAGGCAGTAGCGATGATGAAAGCTCATCAGGCTCATCTTTCCAATAAAAGATGTCGTTCATCAAATTCGGTAAGTTATAAGTAATTATAAAGCTACTGTATTTTTTAATTAATTATTGACATTTTTGAACCCATTTTGGCAAAACCTATTCAAGAATCTACTTTCTGACAATGTTCAACCATGCACATTTTTTTACGTTTTGAACGTTTTAATTTGGTTACATATTTACCTAGAAATCAAAAAATATACTAATCAATATTCTAAAAGCAATTTTAAGAGATATACGATTATTTTTAATTTAGGCTAATTTAAACGCCATTTTGAGATTATATTCGACTGTATTTCACCAAACATCAGGCGGCATCCGAAGCTGGAAATCGAAGCGAACATTTTGAAACCCTTATGTATATTTACATCATTATATATTTCTTACCCCACCCCCACATGATCCTATATTCATCACCAATCGTATACACATCGAATTGTGCTAATTTACTACAAAGTTACGCAAAGCAGCATCTACTATCTAAAATATGTACTGCGTGTCTCTTAATACGTCCCTGCCGAATGTTACAGCGTTCGATGATCACGTGGTCTTGTTTATGTCCGGTCTATCTCTTATTTGAATATACTGTAGATATGTTATGTATCGCCTAATTCGAGCATTGGATAATGAGGAAACTTTCAACATGACAATTTTAGACTCGATAAAATTAATTGCACAATCATGGAATGGAGTATCAAAAAACACTATTAAAAACTGCTTTCAACATGCTGGTCTAGTGAAATCGATCGAGGAGTTTCATTCAGATGATGACTTGCCTCTGAATCAGCGGTACGAGAAATATAAAAGTGTTGATGATGATGATTGGAACGTCCTCCTAAGTGATTGGTTGCGAAGTCACTGCTCAGACGTAACTACTGTGGAAAAATATCTTTCCGAATTAGATAGATTTACGACCATCGACGATAATTTGGTAGCAACAGAGACCTCAATGGATTGTGACATTATTGCTGAAATTGAAGTAAAACTATTCAACGAATGATCTAAACAAGTGAACGAACCAATTCTGAAGCACTTTGTGCAATTAAAACTGTTACAAATTTGTTACAATGGATCTGATGATACAATTTTACAAGCCTCGTTAAAAGCTGAAAAACACATCGAGAATATAAAAGTGTCTAAAAAAATCAAAAAACAACCAAGTTATTTTTCTCGAAAAATCATAACTGTATGCGTAATTACATACTGCAGTACAGTACATATACTAAGTGACATATAAATCCGAACACCCAGTTTAAATGGTTTTATTTTAATAAAAGTTGGTGAATGTATTTATCTTACTGTAAATAACAAGTGAAAAATTTTTCAGCCTTATCAGTTGAACATTCCGGTTTTTATACTGCTTTTTTTTTAATTCACTAACTTTCTAAAAATGAATATTTCAGCCGCAGTAAAGAATCAACGTTGGCGGATTTTGGTTCTTGACATCCTTTACGATCGGTTACGATGCCTAGAGTACGGAGACCTGTACGATTTCGTCAACTTAGTGAGTTTGATAGGGGCCGTATAGTGGGACTTCGGGAAGCTGGACTTTCTTTTCGGGCAATTGCAGTTAGATTGCAAAGAAGTGTAGACACTGTGGTTAGGTGTTGTCAGGCATGGCTTCGAGAAGGCCGTACGCAAAGAGCAAGGGGCACTGGACGCCGCCGTAGAACAACAGACCGTGAAGATCGCCGCCTAAGGTTATTGGCCTTAAGGGACCGTTTCTCCACTACCAGGTCCATTGCAAATGAATGGTTTGCAGAACACGGAAGACCTATTGGCATGCGAAGTGTTTACCGACGAATGAGAAGTTTTGGCTTGTTTTCATACCGGCCACACTGCGTCCTCCCCTTAACTCGAGAACACCGACGTAATCGCCTTGAGTGGTGCAGACAACGGTCACTCTGGGATCAGGAATGGAACAGTATTGTCTTTAGTGACGAGTCTCGATTTTGTTTAGGCATGCACGATGGTCGTGCCAGGGTTAGAAGGCGACGTGGTGAAAGGAGGAATCCACAGTTTTTTGTTGAAAGACATGTTCATCACACTGTTGGAGTTATGGTTTGGGGTGCTATACCTTATGGTTCCAGGTCACCTTTAATCTTCATCAGAGGTAACATGAACGCGCAGCGTTATATCCACGAAGTTCTAGAACCCTATCTTGACACCCTGGCAGATCCAACTTTCCAACAAGATAATGCCCGACCACATGTTGCAAGAGTCACAATAGACTTCTTTCAACATAATGATGTCACATTGTTACCATGACCACCAAGATCTCCCGACTTATCCCCAATTGAGCACGTGTGGGATATGATGGTAGGAGATTGCTCAATTTGCAACGTCCTCCTCAGACTCTAGAAGCACTTCGAGAGGAGTTGGTGGTTGCCTGGAATGAGATACCACAGGAGGACATTGACCACCTGATCAGAAACATGCCTAGCCGCGTTGGAGAATGCGTAGCACATCAGGGTGCATCCACACATTATTAAAGGTCAAAGGGCTTTAAAGCAGTGCATTTTGAAATTTTTATCATTTACTTATTATGCTTCATTAAGTACTTATACAAAATTTTATTAAAATAAAACCATTTAAACTGGGTGTTCGGATTTATATGTCACTTAGTATATTTAATTTCATTATGTCCTATTTCAATGTTATACATACTATATGTTACATATTCATAATACGACATATATCTTTTTTAATTACGTAGAATGTATTTTTAGTTAGTTTAGTCCTTTATTGAACCAAATAAAAATTTACATATGTATTTTTTGGGTTTCCTTTATGGCGTACCTCCGGTTATAAAGAACTAATTTTTTTCTCCCTAGAGGGTACGTTATAACCGAAGTTCATTGTACGAACGTTGAACGAAATGTATAGAGCTCAAAGGAGATAAACATTTTTTTCGGGGGAACTGTGTGTCATGTACATTTCATATAGCATTAAAAAAAAGAAGTTACACGACTTAAAAACACCTTGATTCTGAACTTTTTCGTGATTAAAGTATCAAAGTCCTTTCCCGCTCATTGGCGTGAACACTAAAATAGTGAAAATAAAATATATATTAATGAACCAAAACTACTTACTGTTCATTCTGATTCACAAGTCTTGACGCCGCATCCAAATCTTCTTCATCTGAAGATGATGTCGACGACATTGACGAATCATCGGATCGCGCACGTTCTCTCAGCATCAATAATAAAAGCAATTCTTCGTCAAGTAGATTACAAGCATCCAATGTCGCTAACAGTAACCTCATATTTGACGCACGATCTTGGCGACGCATTAATAGTAACATCAGTAGTAAATCATCTTCAGGTATGTCATCAGCAAGCAGTGCTATTGTTAGCCAACGCAAATGTTCATCCAACATGATTTTTTATCGTAGAGTAGCTGTTACCTGCAACTTCGTATGATGTGTCCGGCTGCGAAAGGTTGGGAAATCTCGAAACTGGAGATACTACATATGTGAATTGACCTAAACATACCTTAGTCCAAAAGTTGATAGTTTGCGAGATACAGGGTGTCAAAGTTACAATTTTATTTTCAATTTTTCCTTATCGCTTGATAAGTATTTCAGATTTTGGCATAAAACTCGGTATAGCGAGGTTTTCTAGTATGATAAACAAGAATCCGTTTTTGGTATGGCCAAACTTCTAGAGGGCGCCACTTACAGCACTATTTCGGTAAATAACCCATCATAACTTTTTTGTGCTACCCTGTATACAACAACTGACCGAAAAATCGGCTTAGATGGGCTAAAGAACATAGACACTGGACACCTCAACAATGGTGTGCAATACAATGGAGTGATGAGGCACGATTCGAAGTTTGTGTTGGTGGCAGTCGCAGTACAGTTATTCACAAAAAAAATGAAGCATTCCATGTTGACTGTCTGAAGAGAAAAGTGAAATTTCCAGCATACATTATGGTCTGGGGCAGTATGTCATCAAAACGAGCAGGAAAACTTCATTTTCTTGATGGAAATGTGGATACAAACAAAAATTTGGCAATTTTAGAAGAATCGCTTTTACCAGTGATGGAAGAATGTTTGACATCCGGCCAAGATTTTGTGTTTCAGTAAGATCGTGCAGTGTGCCATACCTCAAAAAAGGCTACAAAATGGATCGAAGAAAATAATGTACCACTTTTGAAATGGGTTTCTAGCAGTCCAGATCTGTTACCTATTGAAACTTTGTGGCACGAGATGAAAAAGGTTCTACGACAACATCCTGTTCGTACAATCACCGAACTGAGACAAAAGCTTCAAGAAATATAGGATTGTTTTACACCAAATTTTTGCCTAAACTTGGTTAACACTATGCCTCAAAGAATTTCAGCCGTAATAAAGAATAAAGGTGATATTACTCAATGGTAATCTTTCAATTGTTGCTTTGTTCACTTCGCGCATTTATTCGCACATTGTTTATTTGTTCAGATGTTCTATTAGTTATAGGTCTAAGTATATAATATGTATTTTTTACGATTAGTGGGCCAACTGAAGTGGGAAGGGGCTCGTACGTGTTCGACAATATTTAGATCAGACGTTTCCAGATCGATTGATTAGTAGAAGAGGTGCCATTGAATGGCCCCCAAGATCGCCGGATTTATCACCTTTGGATTTCTTTATGTGGGGTCATTTAAAAAGCAAAATCTATGCTACTCAGCCAACATCATTAGAAGACCTGCGACAAAGAATTGTGAATGAGTGCCTTCAAATTACTCCTCAAATATATTGCAAAATGTGCGGCAACGTTTTGAGCAAAATCTTTATTATTGCATGGAGAGTCATGGTGGCCATTTTCAACATTTACTTGCCTAACGGGTCAGTTCATTCTTCATTTTTAAATTACTTTGCTGCCAAATGTATTGATCTCCACTAATGATGATGTTTTATCTTTTGTAAGCTTTAAGTCAATAAATCTTCAAAAATACTGAACTGAAGTATATTAATTTTATATCATTATAAAGGGAATTGGAAGACCTTTAAAATAAGGTATCACTCGACCCCCCTTTCCATTTAAGATTTTGGGGGTGGTGTCACCCCCGCTTAGGGGGCTGCACGTGCTAACGTGATTTTTTGCCAAACTTGTGTTCCCCTTGAAAACAAAATCGACGGGTCTGAGCGTTTTTCAAAAAAAAACTGAGATGCCAGTAAATGCGTCTGTTTCGTTTTCGATGCCCCACCCTGTATATCATTATACCGGGTGTCAACGAAATCGTTTTGCAATGCACTATTCAATTGCTGTTTAAAGACGAACCTTGGAATTTTGTGTGAAGATATGACATACAGGGTGTCCCAGAAGTCGACGTCAAGCCGCAACCGGGTGATAGGCAAAGCCATAACAGCTATCAGAAAAATATTTAAAAAAAAATTATGTATGTGTTTTGAAAATTATAGGTCTTTGAAAAAAATATAGAAATTTCACACCCTACGGCAGTCTGTCAACTCCTGTTACTATAAATATTAACTTTTTTTGGATTTTATTTTTACAATGTAATGATGAATAATGCATCTTCAAACTGGTGTCTCAACCTTACTGCCAACTTTTCTCGTTCAGGAAAAATTGCCACTTATTTCCCAACCAAGTATTCCAAAGTAAAACTTTGCTCAACTTTAACTGGCTGTACTCGAAAAAATGTACTACGAGAGTTTGGCAAGTAACCTTGAAAGTTGGCGCATTTAATAAGGATTCCAAAATGGTATAACACTTAGAAGATTACTCGTTAACTTATGCACAATTTTTATTTGAAAAAAAACTGATGAAATTTTTTCAAAATTTCCTAATTAAACAGCGATTATGAAAACGCACAAGGACCCTTAAGGATAACTGTTTGCACAACAGTGGGCGTCAAAATGCTGCTGATGATGATTTACCTTTACAGCAAATGCTCAAACTGTTTTCCTTCAGCCGCAATACACGCTCGACATCTTCTTAAAAAAGATCGGGTTATTAAACGAGCGAATCCACGGTTATTAACAAACTCAGCTGCTTCCAATAGTCTTTGCCGTAGCTCAGCTACATTTTGAATCGGCTTGAAATACACTTTTTCTTTTACAGTTCCCCAGTAAAAAAAATCTAACGGATTCAAATCTGGTGACCGGGCTGGCCACGGTATTGACCGCCCTATCCATCTGCCTGGAAAGTTTTGATCGAGATACTCTCTCACTGAGAGTGCATAGTGCGCTGGGCAGCCATCATGCTGAAACCACATGTCCCTGTAAATACTCAGTGGCACGTCCTCCAATAAATTTTCTAAATGATTTTGCAAAAAACCTAAATAAACCTCTGCAGTCAAAGTCTCTGGGAACTCAAACGGACCGATTATTTTAACATTTAAAATTCCTGTCCAATGGTTTATCTTGAAGCGATATTGAGATTTATCTTCTCTCATCAAATGTGGGTTTGCTACGTGCCACTCGTGTAAGTTATGCAGGTTCATGTACCCATCTTTCTTAAATGTGGTCTCATCTGACCATAAATTTTTTTCAAAGAACCGTGGATCTTCCCTGTGTCTTTCTAACATTGTGCGACAAAAAGCAACTCGGGGCTCGTAATCCCGGGGCAGAAGTGCTTGAACACGCTGTACGTGGTACGGATGGAGCACGTTTTTTTGCAAGATTCTATGGGCTGTACTTTTGGGCACACCTGTTTTTAGTTCTATTGCACGCACTGAAGTACTCGGGTCTTCTTCGACAGCTCCTAGCACCACGTCTTCGTAAGGAAGGAAAGATCTTCCCTCACCGTGTGATTGGTTTGGTAGTTGGCCCTCTGAGAACAGTAAGCGGTGCACATTTGTGAACACTCGATGATCTGGATGACGAGCTGCATTCGGGTAACTCTCACAGTAAAGTCTCGCTGCAGCACTAGCGTTGCATCTGCATTCCCCATAAATGAGGTGCATGTTAGCATATTCCTGTACGGTGTACACGGACATAGCGGCACTGCACAATCACACTATCAAAGATAGTCTAAGGAAAGCAAATGTTGTTTTGAAGAGCAATTAAACAGTCCAAATCCAAATTACAAGCGATCAACAGTCCAGTTCACGAATCCAAAATTAGTAACAGTACGAAATCAACAAGCACGAACATGTAAAGATGCGCAGTAAACGAAGGAGTACTGATCGGTATCAAAGTGTGCAGTAGCAAGTAAGTGATGTGCTTCATCCATACCACATACAGCGTGTTCAACCTCTCCTGCCCCGGGATTATGAGCCCCGAGTTGCTTTTTGTCGCACAATGTTAGAAAGACACAGGAAAGATCCACAGTTCTTTGAAAAAATGTTATGGTCGGATGAGACCACATTTAAGAAAGATGGGTACATGAACCTGCATAACTTACACGAGTGGCACGTAGCAAACCCACATTTGATGAGAGAAGATAAATCTCAATATCGCTTCAAGATAAACCATTGGACAGGAATTTTAAATGGTAAAATCATCGGTCCGTTTGAGTTCCCAGAGACTTTGACTGCTGAAGTTTATTTGGATTTTTTCAAAAATCATGTACAAAATTTATTGGAGGAGGTGCCACTGAGTATTTACAGGGACATGTGGTTTCAGCATGATGTCTGCCCAGCGCATTATGCACTCTCAGTGAGAGAGTATCTCGATCAAAACTTTCCAGACAGATGGATAAGGCGGTCTGGTACAATACCGTGGCCAGCCCGATCACCAGATTTGAATCCTTTAGATTTTTTTACTGGGAAACTGTAAAAGAAAAAGTGTATTCCAAGCCGATTCAAAATGTAGCTGAGCTACGGCAAAGACTATTGGAAGCAGCTGAGTTTGTTAATAACCGTGGATTCGCTCGTTTAATAACCCGATCTTTTTTAAGAAGATGTCGAGCGTGTATTGCGGTTGAAGGAAAACAGTTTGAGCATTTGCTGTAAAGGTAAATCATCATCAGCAGCATTTTGACGCCCACTGTTGTGCAAACAGTTATCCTTAAGGGTCCTTGTGCGTTTTCAAAATCGCTGTTTAATTAGGAAATTTTGAAAAGTTTTCTAAGTGTTATACCATTTTGGAATCGTTATTAAATGCGCCAACTTTTAAGGTTACTTGCCAAACTCTCGTAGTACATTTTTTTCCAGTACAGTCAGTTAAAGTTGAGCAAAGTTTTACTTTGGAATACTTGGTTGGGAAATAAGTGGCAATTTTTCAACGAGAAAAGTTGGCAGCAAGGTTGAGGCACCAGTTTGAAGATGCCTTATTCATCATTACATTGTAAAAATAAAATCCAAAAAAAGTTAATCTTTGTAGTAACAGGAGTTGACAGACTGCCGTAGGGTGTGAAATTTCTATATCTTTTTCAAAGACCTATAATTTTCAAAACACATACATAAAATTTTTTTAAATATTTTTCTGATAGCTGTTATGACTTTGCCTATCACCCGGTTTCGGCTTGACGTCGACTTCTGGGACACCCTGTATAAAAACTGAATTATCCATTAAAAAACAAATGAATATCACTTCCTGTATATATATTTACATATTTTCATAAAGCTTAAAATTCCCCTTTGTTCCCTTTTCAACGATGTATCACAAGTTGTCATTCTTTTTCGAAATGGCGGCGTAAATGGCATTTATGCCAAATTCAATATGGCGGCGTTTTAACAAAACCTATGGACTACCCGCTGAAATAAGAGGCAAAATCGATTCTCTTGCTGCATTGAGTTGGCAAAACAATTTCTCAGAATTTTAAATAGGA